TCAGGCGGCGTGCTCGTGGTGTGCTCAGCTGCTGCTGTTGTTGCTGTGGAAAGTGACAGCGACGAACCCTCATCATGCAAACCCTGGGCCCCGGGCAACGTCGGAACCCTCATCCCTCACGACCACAGGCTCTCCCAAACCCCTGTTTTGAAACTCTATTTCCAGAAAATCAGGAAAATCAATCGACGTCTCAGAAAAACAATCATCATCACCCTCGCAAATCACGTGATGCGTGGCAGCACACNNNGGCTCCATGAGAACCGTGGCTGCCCTAGCTGGTTCTCCGAGTTAGACATGCTATGCCGTGCAAACAAGACAGCTGAGCGCACACTCTCTTTTTTGTCGGCTGGGGTTGCAGAGTCAGATGCGGTGCTTAAGCGAGTAAGACAACGAATGCAGTACGCTCCTTCCCTTCTGCCAGCACGAGGTTGAGCTTTCCGATGGTGGTGCCCGCAGGCCAGTGCAGTGCCGCGTCCTGCTCGGTGCCTTCGAATTTGCGTACCCAGCCCTGCGCGATTTCCTTGTCGATAAGCTCCGACAGGAGGTCGGGGTTCTGCTCTGCTCTGCTCCAATTTCCTGTGCAGTGCTCCAGTGCGGGGCCCGACAGGTCGTCGCCAAATTCTAATCCGTGCTGAGCTTGTGCCCACAACCCACTGCTGGGCAGCTGGTCAAAAGCCCCTGTCGGGACTCCCTGTGCTAGGATGTCTGGTAGATCCCTATCCTTGTCGTGTATAGCCCGAGCCAGGCTTTGCAACACATGCAATCGAAAAGGCTGCCCTTCTGATATGCTAACAAACTGAGCGTTGCTCATGTGCGGAGCTAAGTGTGTTCTGACAATTTCAGCCAGGGCCAAACAATGCTCCGAGCCCAAGGGTGGGTCTTGCCGAGCCTCACGCAAGCAGACAGCGATGTGTTTAACCAGGCTGTGCTTATGCAGGTAGGCCAGCATAGCTTGAGCCAGCTTTAGCAAGGGCTGTGGCTGGGCCGAAGTATTGTTCGCCGAGTGGTCTGCGGAGCTGAAAAGGCCGGCGCCATCGCAGATAGCGGGGCGACGCGGTAGAAAGCACTGAGGGAGAAGGGTCTGGAAGGCAGCCAGCGATGCCTCCCTGAAGCCGAGGTCTGTGCAGTGCAGGTGGATGCTCTCCTCAAGCTTGGCGCATTTCGTGTCGCTGGACAGGTCACCAAGCGTAGCGTCCGTGCTGCAAAGGATGCGTGATCCGAAAGTGCTGCCCGGTGGCAGTGCTGTGCAGTGCACTGCCAGTTCCTGGCAAAGATGTGTATATGCTTCGGCCTCCGCTGCAGGGCATTGCGCCGGGAAAACAAAGGCGACATGCGCCCCTTGCAGGTGCGCTGCGCGGAGCAGGGATCGACACCATGCGTGCCCCTCTGAGTTCAGATGGCCAAAATCCGCCCAAATCAGCAACCATCCCAACAAGCCCGCCCAGGCGATGCGGTGGATGAGCGCTGCGGTGCTTTGCTTGATGTGCCGATTTTGGGGGATATGAACAGACTGAAAAGAGTCCGATGCTGTGCTGAGCGTAGCCGAGGGCATTTCCGGGCCGACCAGCTGTAGACAAAGTCTGGGTCTACTGTGCGTTGCTGTGCCCTCGCCCGGCAAAACGAGGTCTATGGAAGAGCTATCGGAGCCAGTGTCGGAGTCCGAGGCTTCCTGCGGCACCTGCGGTGACACAGTGCCTGGCGCGCTGAGCGGAGGGGCAGTGCTAGATGCAGAGGGCTCTAAAGGACGGGGGGCCTGTGCGGGTTTAGGGTCCTGTGCTAGGCGGGGCTTGACTGACTCGCGGGTGTCTAGTCAGGACGATGCGGGCTCAGGCGGGCTCTTGTGTTTGCACGCTGGGTGACTGCGCCCACAAGGTTCTCCGTTCGGAAGCTTCAGTGCGCAAGCATGGAGGTATTTACACTGTGCATTGCGGCAGGTGCCTTTGTTCCATCGGATACAAAAGGTGCGGTCACCGTGCTGGGAGACTAAATCCCCTGCTTTGATTTCTTTGGCGGTGCTATCGCCGGGCGTTTTGCGCTTGAGGGTGAGTGCGCCGTTGCCCTTCCCCGACTTAGGGTCTGTTTTTGTCTTGCGCAAGCCTTTGGGGTCTTTGCGGGGCGGGCGGTTGGGCGGGGGCGGCGGCTTGGCGCGGAGCTGAAGCAGGTTGGTGACGTCAGCTCTTACTGTAGTGATCTCGTGCAGTGCATCATCTAAGGTCCAACCTGTGCTGTGCAGCAGTGCGATCTCGTGCCAAATTTTGCGGTCCGCAGCAACCAGCTCTGTAGTAGTGACAGTGCGGAGCGAAGGATCCGAGGGGCTGTGCGTTGCTGCATCTAGCACCTTCTTGTCCAGTGCCTTGAGCCGGGCCAAGTGTGCACCCTTACACGGTGCTATGGCATTGCGGAAGACAGTCTGAATTCTGCTGAGCCATGCGGGGCTGAGCCTGAGATGCTCTACGGGCATTTCAGGGGTCTCGTCAAAGAGTGCTGTGCTGAGAAACTGTGCTTCTGTGCGTAGCATTTTGGATGATTTCGATTCGATTATCTCCTGGTATTGTTTGTGCGACAAGCGGAGCTGCCAGGGCACCCATGTGATAGTGCCTTGCGGTGCAAACCATTTGTGCACGATGCTCAGCAATCTCACGCTTGGCATGGCATCGCTGTCAAGAAATTCGCCTGGGTAGTTGGCTTTAAAGTCCTTGGTGAGCTGTGCGATGACCGATGCATCCAGGCGGGGCGGGGCGTGCTCTGCCCACGAATTGATCTGTGGCTGAGCCGCCGGCGGTGCAGTGCTAGGCTGAGGTCCGGAGTCTTCAGCCATGGGCCCTCACATGTGCACGACGGAGCCGCGCCATGGCGGGGCTGTGCACAGGGTCATCCACTTGCAGGTCCTGCCAGAGCTGTGCGTACTCCTCTGAGCAGAAACAATCCAGCTCCGTGGCCTTAGCGAATGCATACGCAAAATCGGGCACTGTTGCGAGGCCTTTCTCCAACAATGCTGTGCAGAGGCTCTCTGGAACCTGAAAAGAGCTTAGGAGCTCTTGCAATGCGTTGCTGTGACCTTCAAGCGGGAAGGCCATGGCTCAGCTGAGAACAAAAATGGTTTTAATCGCTACTAGAAGCTTGATTAAAAAGGCTGCGGGCGAGTCAGCAATAGCAGTGTAAGACAGACAGCAACCAAAGGCTACAAGATGCGAGGCGCACTGTCGCGGAGCCATCGCTTGGAGAGCGTCCAAGCTGTGCAGAGAGCGGCGGACCTCGGGATTGGGGCGTGCAACGGCACAGGATACTCAAGTTAGCAAGGAAACATGGCGTGGCGCCTTTTTCTGGCTTGCTTCAGAGCGCGTCCCGTGCCGCGCGGATCCCTACGCATGCTTTGCGCTTACAGAAGAGGCCATGCGGGCGATCTGAGTATTGTGCCGCAATGCCGAGTGGCACCCCACATGCCGTGCGGGGCTGACCTTGATGCGCGTCTGCGCGGACGGCATGCCATCGCCCCCATGGGCCGTTGCACGCGTACTTGGCAGCCGAACTAGGCATGCGGAGCTCCAACGGTGCTTGGTCGTTGTCCGAATCCACCGATGATGCCGATGATTGCTCGGAGCTGTCTGTGCCCTGCCTGTCAAGAGCGGCTTTCTCGACCATGTCGGCTTCAACATCGCATGGCAAAGGTGATGAAGCTGGAGATTCGAGAGAAGCATCCAGCTGAGTCGGTGCGGCTGGCGGCTGTGCGGCCGAAACTAGCGCCTCCTCAGCGGCGTGCAGCTTTTCATGCCTTGTAGTGAAGTACGACCAGGCGCCGGCGAGGAGATCCGGTGCCTGGAGCGATTGCAGCACAGGGCCGGGCGGCAGCGCGAACGGCGGCTCCGGTATCGGGGCCTGACCTCCCCTGCCCATGCTGCGCTCAGGGCGCCAACCGTCCGCCATTGCAGTGCTGAGCTTCGCCTGAACATCCAAGCTGGCGAAAGTGTCATTGCGGCTATACAGGGCCGCCGAGTCACGGTGATGTCCCTGCAAAAGACGATCGTCCTTGGCTATACGTAGCTGTGCCGCTGCGGCTAGGCATGTAGACTTTAAACTGTGCAAGGTGAGTTGTTTGGCCTCCGTAGCCAGGAGACCTTGGCCGGGCGGGAGCCATGGGAGGGTCGCCGCCCAGCGCATTGTGAGCATTGCTGCGCAATACGATGCTGGCGCGAGCTCGGGTAGAGCCCCGAGTTCCGGGGCGGAATTGGGCCACAAGAAGTCGAAGGTATCCGGGCAGCCAAATGCCTGAGCTTGGCCGTGCAGGGCCGACAGCCAGTGCAGGGTCCAGCAAGACTGAGCGCTGCGCCCCGTTAGGCCCGCCACCGAAACGGCAAAGGGCTGACCTGTGCTGGTGGTTTTTGTCGCAAAGCAAGTGCCGTGCAGTGCCGCACGAGACAAAGAGAGGCTGGAGAAATCTATGCGTTGCACATCCCCAAAGCGCAGGCTGGCGTGGACGCACAGCAGTGCGGCGCCAAGGGCAAGAGTGGTGGTCACCGGAGTTGCGGAGCAGCAGACGCGCATTTCCCACGCCGCCACTAAGCACCATGGCACGGGCAGTGCTTCTTTGCGGTCCTTGGCAGTGCCGCGCGCGGCGTAAGCAGATATCACCGGGCTGTGCAGTGAGGAGTCGAGGCTCGTCCATTGCGAATGTTTGGCGAGCCACCGCAGTGCTTTGATCGAAGAATTGGCCGACATTTGGTGAATTTCGCGATCTTGCGTGCTGGACGCCCGAGCCGCAGCCAAAAAATCCAGCAGCACTGCGAGGCTTACTTCATGAACGTCCAGGGCAGAGCTGTGCATGAAAGTCAAAAACAAAGCGGCGGTGCGAAGGTACCTTTCTAGGGTGCTGGGCCTGAAGTTGATCAGAACCGCAAGCATATGCTCTGTAGGATCTTTGCAGGGCTGCAGTGTGACCCATAGCCTGGAGGCCGAGTTGAGTCTGTGGACAATCTGACACCATGCAGTGCCACATGCTTGATGTCGTAGATGAGCCGATTGCCTGGTGCTGTTTACCTTGACTCTAAGGGGCTTAGGTGGCAGCAGCATGGGCGAGGGCATGGCGGGCAATGCGGGGCCCTCTACGGGAGTTGCAGAGCTGGCGGCCTTGTGTACAGGAATTTGTGCCGCCTGTACACTGCGAGGTCGAGCCGGGCGTGGCGGTGTGCAAAGGCCTCCCAGGGGCAAGGCAGGGGGAGAGCGAGAGCGCTTAGGGGGGGGCGGGGGGCTCAGCGGGTCATCCATGGCCTGTTTTGGGAAAAAACCTCTGCGAAGCGACGCGGGGCTTTGCTGTGCCGGCGGCCTCGCTAGGTCTGCCACTGTTGGCAAATCACCGTGCGGGCTGAGTCTCAGGCGGTGTCCTGGGGGCGAGGCTTTGGATGCAGGGCTATGCTCAACCAAAGGCAACGGCTTAGGCGAACCTTGCAGCGGGGCCTTGCGAAAATACCAATGCAAATCGGATTCACCTGTGAGGTCAACCACTTCGGGGGCTACGCTGTGTGGCGATGCCGCTTCGTCCACCACCTGGAAAGATGAATCCAAGGATATCGATTTATCGATGCCGGGCTTGCGGCCGGTCGTGAAGCTTCGGGTGCACGCGAAGCGGCGGCAGGGCTGTCTGACAAGTTGGAAGCAGGGCTTTGCGGGGCATGTGAAGCGGGTTGGGACCGTTGGGCAGCCTGAGCCGCCCAACGCCTACGCATGGTTGCTAGGGGAGCCCGAGCTGCGCAACACAAGGCTAGAACCGCACAAAGCCACCAAGGCAGGCAAAGAAAGCATAAGGGCCCAGCCGAGGATCTCGAGGGCGATGCGTACCTGTGCAAGGCAGTGCTAAGAACCAAAACTCAGTGGACTACGCGAGCGAGCGAGCTGTGCCACCGACCTGTTGTGCGACAGGTGCGTTGCTGTCCTGCAGGCGATGCTATGGCAAAAGAAAACAGAGATACACCAGACACAAGCATGCGAGGCAGTGCGAGCCCTCGGGTCATTTTGCGAGCACCCTGAAAGTTGCGATCGAGACGATCGACTGTGCATCAGTGTTTGGGCTCGGCTGGGCAATGCATCACCCGTCTCTGTCTAGTGAAGTGCTCTAGGGCTCTGCCTAAAAGGCTTTTAGGGGAAGGTAGGCTGGAAATGCATCGCCAGCTGCCGAGCTGTGCAAAAAATCTGACTCGAAAAGGCCCGGGGCTATGCGAGGCCAGGGCAATGCTGTGCCGGGCTAGAAGCCGTGCTGCTTGCATTTGGAACAGCGGTGCGGTGCGTGAAAATCTCTGCTCCAGGGCATCACCAACTGCTTTTGGCAGGGCGGATGCCCATAAGCGCAATTCTCGACTTCGCAGCGCGCTGCACACACATAGCGCCCGGTGCTGCTGTGCTTAAACACAGGCCGTGCTATGCCGTCGTCACAGACCGTCCAACGGATTTCGGTCAGGACTTTCTCACTTGCTTCAAGCCATGCGGTGCCTTGCGGTGGATTGCCATGGCGACTGGGCTGGCGGCGCGGTGCTGGGCGAGGCTCCTCATGCGGGGGCGGCACCGGGGGGAAAGCTGCGCCGGCAGGGCGAGCATTGGTCCATGCTGCGCCTCGCGGGCGGTGCGGTGCTTGGCCGCCGCGCGGCTCATCCATGTAGCGCCGTGCACGGTAGCCCTGGACGTCTGCTTCGGCGCGGTGCCAGGCGTCATCATGATCATCCTCCATATCCGCCCAAAGGCGGTCAGAGCTGTGCCGTGCGCGATCAAAGTCATCATAGTGCCAGCGCTGCAAGCCAGAGCGGTGCTGTCCCGGGGGAGTGCGATAGCCACCTCCACGGTCTTGGCGGCGCGATGCAGCATGCCATTGATAGTCGGCGTCCTCATCGTCGTCGCGGTACATAGGCTGTGCCGGTGCGGGGCCCGGCGATGGCTGTGCAGTGCTGGGTGCGGGGCCCGGCGCCGGGGCAGGGGCAGGAGCACGGTGTGCATCATTAAGGTCCGAGTGCAATGCTTCGAGCTCGGCCACACTCAAACCTCGCAGTGCCTGAACCCGGGCGTCGCTGTCCTCTGCCATGATAACCTGCAATGCTGTGGCGAGGGTCCAGGTCATTGCTGAGCTGGGCGGTGCCGAAGGATTCACGAAAGGCAGAAAGCTGAGATCACAATGCTGCTGGGGCATAAAAGATGCAAAACAGTGCGATGCACAACCAAATGCTGACAGAAGCGACACACAAGAAGCGGGCTTAAGGCGTAAAACCAGTCCTGTGCGGAGCTTGAGTGGCTGGGCGATGCCACCAATTCCATCGCGAAGCGTCGCGACCTGCAAGGGCCACCACAACAGTGTAGCAGCAACGCAAACCGTGCCGAGCCTCGAAGTGGAAGAGCAGCAGGTAGACCTGGGCGTTGCAGGGGCAGGACGTGCCGCAAAGCTAAGGAGAGCAAAACTGGGCAGAGAGCGAGGCGCGGCCACTGCACAACTCCCCGATCCTTGCATTGCTTGCAACAAGTTCGAAAGCCAAGCGTGGCATAAACCAGAGCGTGGCCAGGCCTGGCAATGCTGATTTGCGTAGCTTTCGCGGCCATGCGTGGCGAAAACCTGAGGCAGGTATGAGTGTGCATATGAAAAGAACCAAGCGGTGCTATGCGATGCAAAACATATGCCGAAGCAGAAGAGCTTTTGCTGTGCAATGCGATGCAGTTAAAGAAAATCCACAAAGGAGCGCGGATTATCTTCATCGCCAGGCTGTGGCTGTGCAATGCAAATGATAATGGGAAGCTCCAGTGCTCTACGCCAGAGCAGGGCCGGGCGACCCTGAAGCATGATAAAATTAGGCCTTGCCTGTGCTGTGCTGAGCTGAAAAAGAGCAGAACCAGACGTGCAGCGCAGCGCACAGATGTCGGCATGGCTCAAAAAACGTAGAAGGCAGTACAGTGCTCGCAAGTCTCGAAAAATGTGCTGTACGACCGTGCGGTGCCGAGCTTCTGGCTCCCCTTCGGGTTCCGGGGCAGTGCGGGACAGAGCAACTGTCTCCCGGCAGTGCTCCGTCCACAAAACGATGCTGTGCCACAGGATGACGATGCGCTTAAGGAGCCGGACTCGTTCCACTCGCCAAGTGCTGAGCAGCTCTGCGAGGCGACTGGCAGCGCGAGCGCGACGCTCTGAAGATCGGAGTTCCCTTGCGGTGCCCAAGCAGATGAGACCCGGAGCGAGCTCCCTGGGCAGCGTTGGCAGCGCCGCGTTTTCATTGGCTTGCACAAGGCGCGCTGCAGGGCTGTCAGACAAATACCAGACGTTAAAGAAAAATTGCAGTGCGGTGCGGCGGTGCACGCCAGCGGCCAGCCAAAGCGCGGCGGTGCTAGAGGGATCCATGGCTGATCCGAACTGTGCAGGGCTATGCAGGGCGGAACATGGTGTATCTGATAAACTGCTTGTCACGTTCTCCTAGGTCCCAATGTCGTGCACCTTGGCCATGCGTGGCTGACGAGACGTGGAGCAGGCTGCGCCGATCTTCCAGAGACAAACAGCAGAGCAGAAAACCCGCGGGGCGAACCAGTGCTAGCAGTGCAGGCAGCTCAACCACCCAAGAAGAAGACGGTGCATAAAAGTGCTGAAACGAAGCCAGCTTGGCCTCCACCAGGGCGTGGCGCGGATGCTCCGGTGCTGGGCGGTTTCGCTGCACTGCGTTGCCTAGACGGGGCATGGCAAGAGCCGAAACTAGTCAAGTTCCTGCAAAAAGAAAGGCCCTTGGGAATCAGTGGTCTGCGGTGATCCCTCAAGCAGTGCAAGGCGGCGCTCGAAGGCAGAAAGCATGTTGAGAAGATTCTGCAAACGAACTGCTAGCTGGTCAATGCGCACATGAAGCACTGCGTCGCTCTCTATCGTGTCAGAAGCTAAAGACTGCAGTGCCGCAAACAGGCGCTCTGAGCGGGGCGAGGCCGGGGGCGAGACCGCAGGCGTAGCCATGGCTCAGGAGAAAACGGCTGCAGTGCTATGCGAAGCAGTAAGAAAAAAGATTGCTTGGTCTGGGCTGCGAGCCTCAGACCTTCCTCGTGTTTCCCTAGGGTTCGAGCAGTAGACGTTGCGGTGCGTCAGCAAAGTCATTCTACCCTAGGAAAACATCGCTGAGACAACATACAAATTCACAGCGAGCGCTCTGTCCTGCCTCCCTTTCCAGATCCCTTGGCGGCCAAAGGGCAATCCCTGGCAAAATGCCCCGGCTCATGGCAAACAAAGCACTTCTTCTTGGTGGCCTGGTCCTTCTCAGCGCCATCCTTGGAGGACGTAGCGGCAGCACCCTGGTGCTTCCCTTTCTTCTTGTCCTTGTCCTTGTTGCCTTTGCCGTCTCTGCCTTTCTCATCACCCTTGCCTTTGCCCCGATCCTTGTCCTTGTCCTTCCCCCTTGTCCTTCCCTTTGTCCTTTCCTTTGTCCTTTCCTTTGTCCTTTCCTTTCCGGTCCTTGTTCTTGTCAAACTGAAGTGGGTTGGCGTGGGCTCCCTTTCCTGTCTTCTCTTGGAAATCCAATATGCGAAGATTGGAGTCGTAAAAACGCAATGCGGATTCTATAATTGGCTGAGGCTATCTATCTTCGCGTGGAGTAAGATATACTTCTTTACTTCCACGTTCAGGTTGCGAAGCATGCAACAGAGTGTGGAGACTCAGCTCCTTATCCACACGGTGCAGGAGCAACAGAAGCAGATCTCTCAGATGGTGAGTCTTGTCGAGACAGACACTGGTGTCGAGAGACAGTGTTAGGGAGTCCAAAGGGAAGGGTGCCGGTAGCCTGTCTGACCTGTCAGGGCTTTCCATGGATGTCGATGAGGGCGGTGCGCCAATCGAAATCCTAAAGCAGAGGCGTATGTGCCCAAGCTTCCTGCGTTAGAGGAGTCCAAGATGACGCTAGGGCAGCGGCTCACCGCTGCGTTTCCCGACCTCTCCCTCACGGAGGCGGCCAGGAGGCCCCACAGGCACTCCAGACGGGATCGGCGTCCCGACAAGTGAACCTCCAGTAGGCGACCCGGTGGGGTGGTACACTGGTGACCAACAGCAGACAGGTTGGAAATGGGACTGAAGGCAGCTCAGGTCTTGCATATATGGGAGAAAGGGGTTATTGGACCAAGGAGCAAAATCAGTCAAAAAACGACCCAAAAGCAGCCTCTTCGATCCAGAGAGAAAAAGGAGCTGCATGTTCGAAGCTGAAACTTCGATCCAGAGAGAAAAGAAGCTGCATGTTCGAAGCTGAAAAATCGCTCAACTTCGCTCTGAAGCAGCCTCTTCGATGCAGA